CAAGAATTTTAGAAACCATGTTGCACTAAAACATGGCTTACTGAAGTGATGATCATCCTCTATGTGACTTTTCCTATATTTTCTCAAACCTAATAGAATAATTCAAGAACTCTGAGTTACGTAAAAGAAATCTTCAAAGGATAAATCAAATTATTCCAAATGAATTATGTCATACTTCAGTAGTCTTAGTTAACAGTCTGCTAGGTTAGAGCATTATTTTTAAAATGCATTTGCTTGGACTTGTAGCATTAGCATTACAGGGAACTTGTTGAAAAGGCAAATTCTTCAGATCCACACTGGACTTTCTGAAACAGAAACTCTGGGTGTAGGGTCTAGAAATCTGTATTTTAAGAAGCCTTCCAGGTGATTCCCATGCAGGCTCAAGTTTGAAAATCACAAGGTTAGGAGAAATGGAAAGAAGGAGAACCCATTAAAACCTCACAACCAAAAAACCACAAACTATTTGAAAAAGTAACGCACAGAAAGATCAAGCCAATAGTAACTGACAATCAACTGTTTGTCCTCGTGAAGAGCACTGTACTTCGATTTGGGGGGAGGAGGAGGAAATGTACAGGAATAATACTATCTGAAGACTTCGATAAATAATATGATGGAATAAAGGTCACTAGGAAATAACCAACTTTAAATGCATGTAAAGTTAAATAAATCATGCATATGAATTATAACTATATTATTCATTATTTTCCTCACTCATTCAACATAACACTTATTGGACATTACCATTATACAACACTATGCTAAAAGGTGTGATTTTAAATGAAAGAATGAGAAATTTCAGAACATCAAAGCTTTCCAGTAATGCTGTTTATGCCACTAAAATTGAATACCATGAGTTTCTAAAGACACAGAGGTTAGCTCAGATTCTGTATTTCTTACTCATGAGACAAAAAGAAAAGCTAAGTACTTTTTTGGTTGATCAACCGTAAGTTCAATTAAATTAATTTCAATATCTATAGCCTAAGGTAATATTAGCCCTAATCCTGTAAAACAATCCATATAAAAATATATATAAATATATAAACATGTATAAATAATATAGATAAGCTTTAAGATTAAAAACTCTGAACTAAAAATAGAAGAGAATTAATTCTTGCAGATTCTAACCAAGTTCCTTTTCATCACTGATGGTAATGTGTGTTACCTCTTCTGCTTAGTTCATTTATTTTTGGAATAAATTGTGTACCTCTATCTGGGAAGCAATACTGTGTGGCTGAGACAGCAGAGGCTCTGAAGCCAGATCTGAAGTCACATCATTTCAGCTACTTAACTAACCAATGTGTCTTCAAACAAACTGACTTTTACAACCTTCAATGTTTCATCTTTTAAAGAAATTTAATGACACTTTCATCATAAGAGTATTATGAGAATTAAATGATATTGCAATTCATGAAACATTTGGCTGATTAACAAATCCAAAATAAAAGTTTCATATTACTCTTATTCCATTCTCTTTTTTTTTTTTTTTTTGATAGGCAGAGTGGACAGTGAGAGAGAGAGACAGAGAGAAAGGTCTTCCTTTTGCCATTGGTTCACCCTCCAATGGCTACCGCGGCTGGTGCGCTGTGGCCGGCGCACCACGCTGATCCGATGGCAGGAGCCAGGTACTTACTTCTCCTGGTCTCCCATGGGGTGCAGGGCCCAAGTACTTGGGCCATCCTCCACTGCACTCCCGGGCAACAGCAGAGAGCTGGCCTGGAAGAGGGGCAACCAGGACAGAATCCGATGCCCCAACCGGGACTAGAACCCGGTGTGCCGGCACCGCAAGGCGGAGGATTAGCCTAGTGAGCTGCGGCGCCAGCATCACTGATTATTCTTAAAGCTTTAATATAATTTTACAATGACAACTAGAAATGAGACACTACTTACTAGATTTGTGCCCTTAAAGGTCTTTCCTTGGAACACAATTTGATCTCACAGATTCTTCCGAATATTTTAAAATACTGAAACTGTGGTGCAGTAGAAAAGATTGGAACAGGGAATTAGGGGACTTAGATTCTAGTTTCATTAGTTCCAGGAAGTAGCTTGGGTTTCATCTCCTTGGACTGGGTAATGGCTCATGAAAAATAAGGGTGTTAGACTAGATAATCTCTAAAGCCTCTTTGGGGTCTTTAAAATTCTATGATTTTAACTTCTCTGGAAGAATTGGTTTGGATACTTGGACCTGGGAATAAACTTCATTTATTGAGAAAGAAATGTTCAAGATAGAAAACACAAAGTAACAAAAAGTAGGGGACAGCAAAAAGACTGACCTAGCTCAAAATATTTCTACTTCTCCATATTCATCCTGGTGAAATTATGTACAGAAATGTTTTCTTCTGTACAAATTTATGCAACAGAATTTAATCTCTTGTGGCAGATATGATCTCAGTATTATTCCTTCTGGAATACCTCCTCAGGAATCATGGTCTCCTTACCCATGGTAATGACTACGGTGGTGAGTAGTCAGTATCTTCCTCTTTGCAGACTTGTTCTCCTGTCAATCTCAGTCAAGCCAAAGGCTAGTGTGTCTGACCTATGAGGTTTACCAAGATACCTAAAGAACTATCCCGTTTTTTCTCTCAGTGTCACACATAGTAAGGTGTAACAGACACCTTTCATGTATTTGCCTGGCTCACAACTTCACTTTCCAGGGAAGGCTGCGATATAGATACTTCTACTCTCTTCCTTCTTTTTTTGGACAGGCAGAGTGGATAGTGAGAGAGAGAGACAGAGAGAAAGGTCTTCCCTTTGCCGTGGGTTCACCCTCCAATGGCCGTCACGGCTGGCGTGCTGCGGCCAGTGTACTGTGCTGATCCGAAGGCAGGAGCCAGGTGCTTCTCCTGGTCTCCCATGGAGTGCAGGGCCCAAGCACTTGGGCCATCCTCCACTGCACTCCCTGGCCACAGCAGAGAGCTGGCCTGGAAGAGGGGCAACCGGGACAGAATCTGGCGCCCCGACAGGGACTAGAACCCGGTGTGCCGGCGCCGCTAGGTGGAGGATTAGCCTAGTGAGCCGCGGCGCTGGTGATTTACATGAGTTTATACACCAAGAAATAACAGTATTATTCTAGTTCCTTGTAGAAGCTCAAGTGATCTGGGGAAGGCATCGAAGTATGAGGAAAAGTTTAATTTTAGCTCAGGTCAAAACTATATATTTTTATAGAGACTACGTATTGGTTTGTTTTCATCCACATCATCCTCATAATTTACTACAACTCACTTTTGAAAACACAAAGTCAGTACAGGATACCAAGAAAATGAGTAACAGCATTTTTTTTTTTTTTTTTTTTTTGACAGGCAGAGCGGACAGTGAGAGAGAGAGAGACAGAGAGAAAGGTCTTCCTTTTGCCGTTGGTTCACCCTCCAATGGCCGCCGCAGCCGGCGCACCGCGCTGATCCGATGGCAGGAGCCAGGAGCCAGGTGCTTTTCCTGGTCTCCCATGGGGTGCAGGGCCCAAGCACCTGGGCCATCCTCCACTGCACTCCCTGGCCACAGCAGAGGGCTGGCCTGGAAGAGGGGCAACCGGGACAGAATCCGGCGCCCCGACTGGGACTAGAACCCGGTGTGCTGGCGCCGCTAGGCGGAGGATTAGCCTAGTGAGCCGCGGCGCCGGCTGAGTAACAGCATTTAACATTTCATTTTCGCTTCTTATTACCTATTCACTCAGAGAACTAGATCTCAACTGAGCAGGAACTAGAGGGTGAGAAAGAAAAACCCTACTTTTCTCATAAACGGTATTTGTATTTTCCATAGCTATTCTAATAATATAGCCTTATAAAGAGATTTGTAAAAGACTGAGAGAACCATTTCTTCAGGCTCCCAATTTTTCCAACCTGTAGAGTATTTCCTTCAGTATAAATATTTCCTGAAAGTAATCAAAAGGCTATCATCTTTTAAAATCCCTCACTGTGTAGCCTATAAACTTAAAAAAAATCCAATCAGAATTTGCTAATACACCTCTCATCTAGGTTCACAATAAATTATGCTTGCTTAGTATGTTTTATAATGTATAACTGTCAGAGTAACCATTTATATTAGTCATCATATACTGTCTTCTATTTCTATACTGTGATCTTTTCAATCAAATGAATCAAATTGTAATTATCGAAGAGTGCATTAAAAAACCAAGGAACCTAAAGCTAAAGCATTGTGCAGTGTGGGGAGCAACTCGGACTAGACTAAGTTACTAGAATTAAGACTTATTCTATGCATCTGCTCTCCCACAATATGGCGCTGGGAGAGGAGTAAACAGCTTCTACGCAGCTGCCTCCAGTTTGACCAATAAACTGCAGGAGCTGCTCCTGATTGGAGGAGAGCAGCGTGCTCGGCGTGTGGGTAGCAGAGTTGGAATTGGTGAAAGAGGACTATAAAGGAGGAGAGAGACAACATGCACCAGGAACATCTATCTGAAGGAACACCTGAGCAGCCCCCGAGAGCCGGCCGGTGGTGTGCCACTCCTCCGCGGAAGTGGGGAAAGTGGCAGGGGGAGCCGCCCCTCCACGGAGGTGGAGGGGTCGGCGGCCAACCCGGGAAGGACCAGCAGCAAACCCGGGAAGGGCCGAGCAGCAGAAAGAACAGCGCAGGGTCCTGTGTCGTTCCTCCGCGAATGGGGGAGCGACAGTGCAGTACTGAAATGTAATCTAGGTCTCATTTGTGAGGGCTTCTTTTCCTATAAGGAAAATACGTCTCAAGATATTTTAATCCTTATGTCTAGTTTTTTTTCTCTTTAAAGAGGCATAAAGTAGATTTACTTTTTAGTTGTCAAAGACACATAGTTAATGAAACTAGATTTGTAGGCTGACTGCTAATTGTGAAAATGCTGAAGGTAATAACCTCTAACAGATTAAAACATCAAGAAAATAACCAAAAAGAGAAAAGAATTATCTCTAATTATTAAAACCAAATAAACTTACTAAGTGAATAATATATTAAAAAGGACTTTATATTATGAACATAGAGAAAAACTGAAATGAAGATATAAAACACTAGCTTAAACTTACTGGGTTATCTGTGGAATCCTCAGTCAACTGTAAACCAAAATAGTCCCGCTCAGTCAAATCAAGATGCTTGAAGACTATATCCAACAGAACTTGCCCCTGATCATGTTTCTGAAAGAAAAAAAATTGAATTCAAATTTGATAAGACTGCACACTTTACATGTTTTGTTCTCCTCTATTAAATTGGCAACTGTTTCCATACCAATAATCTGAGAATGAAGATCTCACATGTGACACAGTAATTAAAAAAAAAATTGACTTTAGGCAAACTGATTCAAAGAGAACACAATAAATATGAAAGTATGAAGAAATCTGATTGAAAATGTCTTTTACTTTCAGGCTATTATGGTATTTTTTTATTTCATATTTTACCACATTAACTCATTTACCTCTTCATATCATCTTTCTATGTTTTTCATTATTATATTTAAACTATGAATAGAACATGACATATTTGATAAAATACAATTGTGTATAAAATAATGCCACAAAAAGGAAACAAAGATGGTGAAATTTATTTGAAGCAAATTTGATAAAGGACTAATATTTGCATTTCAAAGTACTCAGATATCTTTGGAGAAATATCACATTTTAACCTCACAAGCATTCTGTCATGGAAGCTTTATTTATTATTCCTGTTTTAGTAAGAATGAGTAACTGTAACTTCATCACTTTACACAGCCACTAAATTGTGACAGAAAAGACATGATTGGATAATCCCCTAAAAAAGAAATATAATAAAAAACACACAGAGAAGCAGTCAGTAACAAAAGAAATGTAAATGGGAAATTCTAATGAATGCCACAAGCAAACAACAATCTGAAAAATAAAATCCAATCAATAGGATTTAAAAAAATACTTACTGGTACTAATGTTATACAGGTTAAATAACCCTCATCCAAAATGCTTGAGACTTGAAATGCTTTAGATCTCAGAAGATTTTCAGTTTTATTTGAAAAGCTAAACAGACTTACATAAACATTCCTAATGTGAAAATTCAAAATCTGACATGCTCCCAAATCCAAAACTTTTTGAGTGCTAACAGGACACTCAAAAAGTTTCAGATTTAGGAGCCTTTCAGATTTCTAGATTAGGGATGCTCAACCTTCAGATAAAATCTGTTGGGAAAACAAGTTGGAAATTGATAACAATATTGACTACAATACTGTAAACAAAATAAAATACAATAAACAAAATCCAATATTGGAAGAAACAGCTATACAAAATAGTAGTCAATTTAATATTTTCCATTTAAGATATATACTGGAAAAACACAGGGGTAAATAGTAGTTAATAGTTACTGCTATTTTTTCCTCTCATTAGCCAGAGCAGTTTGGAAGCTTCCAGCTACAAGGCACAATCTAAACTCTGAGCCAAAACCATAAGGACTTTTTTTTTTCCATACAATAGAAAGTCTAGAGGCGCAACAGAATCCAGAGCAATCTAATTCAGCAATAAGAAACACAGTCAAGGACTAGGTTTTTTTCCATCTCTGTTAATCTGCACTGCAAGTATTGGCTATACTTGTGAGATTTTAGCAGTATAGTCACAGTACTTCCAAGATTCATAATTGAACATGACAATGTTCAAAGGAGGTACCTTCCTTGTAAAGTTACCTTACAAAGAACTTTGCTTCATGCCTTACTGGCCAGAATTAGATCAAAAGACTATTTGCAAAAATCAATGCTAGGTAAGATATGCTTCAACTGATGATGTTGATATTTCCATGTGTGTTGGCTTTTTGTATATCTTCGCAGAAATGTCCAACCAAATTGCCCCATTGTAAATTAGGTTGTTATCTTTTTGTTATTGTACTCTAAAGAGACCTTTTTGTATTTTGGATACTAAATACTTATTATATATGTAATCTGAAAATGTTTTCTCCCATTCTATTAAGTTGTCAAACCTGATGGGGAGGGGGGGGGATTGAGGTATTCTTATTCTCCAAGCCCAGGGAAAACAAGTGGGGAGCTTAGAGTTCTATGCATCACAGATAGGAAGGAGGAACTATCTTCTACCCTTTCCCCAGCTACACCATAAAGTCCTTCACAATATGTCCTTTCATAGGATCTTGGGTGGCAAGCAAAAACAGAACACATAGGCTGAAATTCCATTTTAATCTGTTGGTAGCAAGCAGTGTTCAGCTTCCCCAGTTGGGGTGATGTTAGCAGAAACTGAGTGAAGCCCAGACTTCCACCACTACCTCTAACACAGAGCTGTAGCAGGTGGCATCTCCCAGATGGAGGGAAGGAGGACTTATGAAAGAAAAGTGGGTAGACACCTTCAGTGAACTACATGCAAAACTAACCAAAATTAAAATGGCAAGAGGTATAAGAACTTAACCACAATGTGAAATACATGGACAGTTTGCTGAAAGATCTTTGGATAACATATACACGAAGAACAACAGAATGGCACTGAAAATATTAAGGAAATGAACTGTTATTAGAGCTATAATCCAGGGCTGGAGCTGTGGCACAGCCGGTTAAAGGCCTGCCCTGAAGTGCCAGCATCCCATATGGGCGTTTTAGTCCCAGCTGCTCCTCTTCTGATCCAGCTCTCTGCTATGGCCTGGGAAGGCAGTGGAAGATGGCCCAAGTCCTTGGGCCCCTGCACCCAAGTGGGAGACCGGGAAGAAGCTCCTGGTTCCTGGCTTTGGATTGGCGCAGCTCCGGCCATTGGGGCCATCTGGGGAGTGAACCAGTGGATGGAAGACCTCTCTATTTTGATCTCTCTCTGTAACTCTTTCAAATAAATAAAATAAATCTTAAAACAAAACAAAACAAAACAAAAAAACACTATAACCCACAGGGACCAGCATCGAGGCATAGGTGGCTAAGTTGCAATCTGCAGCAAAGGTATCTTATGTTGGAGTAGTGGTTTGAGTTAAGGCTGCTCCTCATGTGATCCAGCTCCTTGCTAATGCACCTGGAAAGGCAGTAGAAGATGCTCTAAGTACCTGGACCTCTGTCACCCACAGGAGAGTCCCAGATGGAGTTCCTGGTTCCTGACTTCATTCTGGCCCAGCCTCAGTCCCCATCATCACATCCATTTGGGGAGTAAACCAGTGGATAAAAGATCTTTCTCTCTGTTTCTTCCTTTCTCTGTGTCACTTGCCTTTGAATCAAATAAGTCTTTGGGTGAAAACAAAACAAAAACAAAACAAAACAAAACAAAAAGCTATGACCCACAAAAGTAGGTCAGGGTATTTATCTGACCTACATGACTCTGCTACAGAGAAGACTGAATAGGATCCAAACATCCATCATACCATGAGCTAGGCAAATCTCGACTAGACTGAGGAAAGACAACCAACAGACGCCAATATCAGTTCAGCTGCTGGAATCATCTGACATGGATTTGGAAGTAACCACCACAAAAATGTTTCAAGGAGACATTATGAATGCCCACCAAAGAAATAAAACACATAAAAGAACCAAACAGCAATTACACTTAAATAACTAAAAAAAATATATATATAGTAACAAACAAAAACTGAGTGGATGGGCTCAAGAGATAAATGGAGGTAACAAAGAAATCAATGAACTTAAAGAAGGATCAATAGAAATTATTCAATATGACTAACACAGGAAAGACAGAGAGGAGTAAAACAAAATGAAACCTCCAGAGACTTGTGGACAAGGGAAAAATGATGTAACATTCATTTCACCAGAGTCTCTAAAAGAGAAGAGAGTTTTAGGATAATAAAATATTTGAAGAAATATTACCTGAACATTTTATAAATCTATCAGAAGCAAAAACACAGATCTAAGAATTTAAGTGATCTCCAGGCAAACTGAATCCAAACAACTCCAACTGATTCTCATGCAAAATGGATCCAAAGAAATCTACCCTAAATTAATCATCAAAATATTAAAATTGATTAATTTGAAAGAGTTAAAGAGAAACAGGGAGGGGGAGAGGGAGAGAGAGAAAGAGAGAGAGAGAGGGAGAGAGAGAGAGGGAGAGAGAGAGAGAGAGAGATATCTTCCACTGTTGGTTCACTCCCCAAATGGCTACAATGGCAGCACTGAGCCAGGCTAAAGCCAGGAACTTGAACAGGGTCTCCCATGTGGGTGGCAGGGGCCAAACCACTTGGGCGATCCTCTTGCTGTTTTTTCCAGGCCATTAGCAGGGAGCTGGATCAGAAGTGGAATATCTGAGACATTGACCAGCGCCTACATGGGATGTGGTGTTGCAGGTGGTGGCTTTATCTGTTAAGCCACAATGCCGGCCCCAAAATACTAAAACTTAAACACAAATTGAAAATCTTCAAAGTAGCTAGGAGAAAAAAGGAGACAATGACAGTTTCAATAAGAACAAGTTTCTCACCTGCAATCATGAAGACCAGAAGGAGGTATACATTTTTCAAGTGCTGAAAGAAAACAACTGTTGACACAAAACTTGCATCATTCTATAGAAATGAAGAGCAAATAATGACTTTCTCAGAAAAAGAAAATTTAAGGGAACTTATCACTCAGAGACTATCGCTACAGGAATTTCTAAAGGAAGTTCTCCAACTAGAATGGAAATAACATGAAGAAACTTGAACAACAGAGCAAAGAGCAATGGAATTGGAGAAACAGAACTAAACATAAAAGCCTATTCTCTTTAGTATGGAAACTCAATTTTCCCAATACCATTTATTTAAGAGTCCATCCTTTTTTCACAGAATGTTTTAGCACATTTGTCAGAGGCAAGTTGATTACAGATTTGTGGATTTGTTTCAGGAGTTTCCATTCTGTTTCACTGTCTACATGTCTATTTTAATGCCAGTACCATGGTGTTTTGGTTATAAAAGCCCTGCAGTGTCTTTTGAAATCTGGTATTGTGATTCCTCTTCAACAGAGCATTGGCTATTTTGAGTCTTTTATGTTTCCATATGAATTTTAGGATTTTTTTTCTAATTCTCTAAAGAATGTCATTAGTATTTTGATAAGGGTTGTGTTGAATCTGTTAAATTGCTTTGGGTAGTATAGATATGTTGATAAAACTAATTGTTTCAATCCATGAACACTGAAGCTCTTCAACTGATAATTAGGTAAAAAAAATGTGGTATAACTACATGATGGTCTACTACTCAGTCATAAGAGAATGAAATCCTGATATTT